GGCATCGCCGTTACTGAGCAGCGCAAGAACTGCCAGCTGAACGTCGACATTGAGTACCCAGGAGGCTTCCAGTACTCCATTCTGTCCGCCGACTACCGTGGCTACTCTGCCATCCAGAAGGGCGTCTCTGGCACTCTCAAGTCTACCTACTACTTCTCCGGAGACACTGCTCAGGTAAGATCTATTCAAGTTCCAGTGGCGTGGACCAGATATGCTGATACCCGAAATAGACCTCGACTGAGTACAAGTTCGACGGGCCAACCAACGGCGACTACCTCAAGCACGACGAGGCGGACAGCACCTCGGTTGTATGGGCGCCATGCGGCACCAACGGCATGCTCAACATCAACTCGCAGGTCCGCCTGACCAGCAGCAACGCCAGCGCCACTGGCCTCCTCACCACTGACTCTACCGATCTCAAATTCACCCAAGTCGTGTACGTGCAGTGGCAGAAGTGCACACCACCCAAGCAGTAGAAACTGATTGCGGTTGATGTAGGCCGAGACATTGGATCAGCTGGATTAGTGTGAACGGGCCATGGGTGGTGCGGGTTGAGGATTTGAGGTGGAGGCGGTGTTAGTCGGGGAATGGAATTTACGAAGATATGCCGGACGCATGTTTGATGTTTGCATGATAGTTGAATCCTTTTATGAGATGCGCATCTCTCATTTCACTCTCCACATGCTGTGATGCTCCACTTGCCCCTTTACGCACTTCAGGACCAGGAACACGAGCGAGTAAGGCTTGCCAAAGAGTGAGGGTGATGGTAGTATTATTCTGGGATCACACGGTCTGCAACATTCGCATTCGAGGTAGCACACAGTCGGGTGCGCCCGTTGGCAGGACAGAGGTGATGTGGCGTGTGGTGTCGCAGCCACGTCGGAAATTGTGGGGATAAGAGGGCATTCTTGGCGGCAGGGTCGTGGTTGCCGCATTTAGATCCCTGTCTGTTTACCAGCGGCCGTGCGTCCCATAACAGAAGTTCCGGCTGGAACATCGTCATTGAGCACTCCAGCCCGCAACACCAAACCCTCGCTCGCGGCTGTTCCCCACGCTTTCAAAGGAGGCTGCGCAGTGCGATTGACCTGCTTTTTTCATTTCTTGGGCGCAATCATGGCCGCCGCGGGCGCGTCTTCCATCTCCGTCACCGTACGAGTCCGCCCTTTCACTATCCGAGAGGCAGCCCAAGTCACGAGGAACGATGACCAAACGCTGTTCCTCGGAGACGGTTCGCTGGCGGGCTTGCCAGCGCCGAAGCTCCACAAGGGCATCCGGCCTGTCATCAAGGTCATGGACGAGAAGTGCCTGTATGAGACGTCACGTATCATTTCAAGTCATGAGGGCTGACCTTTACCAGAATCTTCGACCCTCCAGAAGACAATGCCGTCCAGCGATTTGGACGATCAACAATAGGACCTCAGGGCAAGCGATCAAAGGACCAGACATTCGCATTCGACCGCGTCTTCGACGACACTACCTCCCAGGGCGATGTATACGAAGCCACGACGAAGCCCCTGCTGGACAGTGTGCTGGATGGATACAACGCGACTGTCTTTGCCTATGGCGCCACAGGTTGCGGAAAGACACATACTATCACGTATGTTCATGTACACCGCTAGTTGCTCGCAGGAGGTCTAACCTTTTCACAGTGGAACATCGCAGCAGCCGGGCATAATCTTCTTGACTATGCAAGAATTGTTCGAGAAGATTCAGGACATACAAGATGAAAAGGTCACCGAGATCACGCTCTCCTATCTGGAAATCTACAACGAGACAATTCGCGACTTGCTTGTAGAGGGCGGCAGTAAACAACCCCTGATGCTCCGCGAGGATGCCAACCAGGCTGTATCAGTCGCTGGTCTTTCCAGCCACCGACCACAGAGCGTAAGTGGGAGGGATACACTGCACGGCAGGCGTCTAACAACCACAGGTCCAAGAAGTCATGGATATTATTGTCCGCGGCAACGAGTACCGAACCATGTCACCTACTGAAGCGAACGCTACCTCTTCCCGATCCCACGCCGTACTCCAGATCAACGTGTCCTCCAAGGACCGCAATGCCTCGGTCAACGAACCCCACACAATGGCTACCCTCAGCATCATCGACTTGGCAGGTAGTGAGCGTGCGAGCGCTACGAAGAACCGTGGAGAGCGTCTGACGGAGGGTGCCAACATCAACAAATCCCTGCTCGCGCTGGGAAGCTGTATCAACGCCCTATGTGATCCCCGAAAGCGAAACCACATCCCATACCGCAACTCGAAACTCACGCGATTGCTCAAGTTCTCTCTCGGTGGAAACTGCAAAACTGTCATGATAGTCTGTGTTAGTCCATCAAGCGCGCATTTCGATGAGACGCAGAACACCCTGCGTTACGCCAATCGCGCGAAGAACATCCAAACCAAGGTCACCAAGAACGTATACAATGTCAACCGCCACGTAAAGGACTACCTTGTCAAGATCGATGAGCAGAGACACTTGATCGAGGAGTTGATGAAGAAACAGAAGGATTTCGAAGGAAGTGCCTTGGTCAAGTTCCAGAAGCAGAGCGAAAAGAAGGATGGCATCTTGCGAGACGCTGTGGTACGCTTGCGCCAGGCTTATGCGGACTCTGAGCCCGACCGTCGGGATCGGCTGAATATGTCAAAGACCTTGAAGCTGGCCGAGAAGCGCATCTCGATGATTTCGGCATGGATCGCAGCATTCGACAACGTGAAGGATGTTCGCGAAAACGAGGAGATGCCCGCCCAAGTTACAGCAATGAGAGATACCGCAGTCGGAATTTCGGCAGAACTCGAACAAACGCGACAACATTGCCATCGGCGATTGGAGCGTACTGTCTGGACGAGCAAAATGGACACAGCGCTGCATGTTGGACTGAAGGGTCTGGCGGAGGTGGACGGCAACGCTGACGGCCACGATGCTGCCAATCTGACAAGAGAGTACGAGCTACTCAAATCGAATGCGGATCGTGAACAACTCAATGCTCTGCTAGACATGGAAAAGGGCGGCGATGCTGCCATCGTCCAGGTGCTGGTACAGGCGCACATCGAGACTGTCACAATCCTAAGCCAGATCACCCAAATGGATGAAGCCCAAGCGGTCGAAGCGGCGAGGAAGCTGCTTACAAAGATTATGAATTCTTGTACAAACGCAACTTCGCAGGTTATTCGGCCAGACGGTGGCCTGCCAGTGACGGAGTTCTTTGAGCCAAGCCACAGAGGCACACCAAAAAGGAGGAAGCCAGTGAACATCATGGAGCCGTCTCCCATGCGACCAATTGCTTTGCCAACACTGGCGGACGCGCCGCATCTTACATCATCGCCAATGAAGTCATCACCACGCCGAAAGTTGATGGCAGGAGCCAGAAAGAGCGTCCAGTTCTCGCCGATGAAGAAGAAGAAGTCTCCGTCAAAGACGAAGCGGGGGGTGCGCTGGAGGGACGACACCGAGAATGGGACACTTGCGGAATTCCAGAAAACACCAGAACACCTAGCAGGAACACCAACACATTCTTCCACCCCAGTGCCAGCACCGACTTACTCGACAGGCATCCCCATACCAAAATACGATGGAAGCGGTGGCTCTTCGCCCATCCCCACACCACCAAAAGCCTCTGTAGATTTGAAGGGCTCATCGCGCTTTGCAGTCGGCGCGCTATCTAAGCGTTCGGACGGATCCCCCACATCTCGTTCCAACAACGCATATGGCTCGGATTCCGATGGTGCGTCGCCTCTCCGCGACATCTACAACAACGCTCGCACTTCATCCTTGAGCAATGTAGAGAACGCCTCGTCGGGCCCCACGCGAGAAGGAGACAGCGGCCACTCCAGTTCAGAGGGAGAGAAGTGGACGCCATCAGACGCGCGACAAATCGGACACGCGATCAAGCGCCGTTCTTCCACAAACGGAGGATCTGTGCCTGTGAACCGAGCGCATCGTCGTCGTAGTCCGACAGCAGCGACCATTGGTAGCCCGCCCAACGAGAACTCCCTTCTCTCCGCGGGTGCAGCACGTCGCATGGTCAAGTCAGTCCACGAGGCTGACTGGAAGAACAGCGTACTCAGCCCACGGGTTACGCCCATAATGAAGAGCGCTGTAAGGCGCACTACCTTGGCGAACGTTGGTGACGATCGACCTCGGGAGGCACCACCCAGCTTGAATGCGCGAGCGCCTGTACGGATCACTAGTGGTTCTTCGTCCAGAGGTAGCCTCATGCCTAATTCTAAGAGCGTCTGGCGTTGATTTACCTCTTGCTAATTGGGGCACTAGGTGGTTGGAGACGCCACCGTTGGGGCTTTTAACGACTTTTCCGCTTTTCGTTGCTCACTAGTCGCATTCTGTTCTTTTCGATTTGGCGATGTTCTGGCGCCAGGTTATTCTCTTGTGCATCTGTCTCATTCTCAAAACCTTGGAAAACTCCATCTAGAAGCATTAACGAAGGCTTGGGTCGGTGTTTGGGTAATCTCCCTGCCTATGGCAGTCGCTGGGGCGTATTCAGTTGCGATTGCACTGGGATGTACTTGTATGCGTGTCTCGAGTATTGCGTAGTTTTCCTGTTACTAGCATCATTTCAACGTTTCACGATCATCTTACTTGATCTTTTTTGTTCAGCTGTGCCTGATGAGTGTCTACTTTCAATGAGCAATGTCAACATGTCGGTACGACCTCGCAATGTGACTAGAACTACTCGCCCACTCACCAGGTGATAGAGCCAGACTCCACCACCTACACCGATCTCCTCAGCCCTGCTACTTTCTATTTACTGTCACTCTGATTTGCTTTCCTCGGGCGCAAGTAAAATCTAGGTGACGTGCCGTTTGTTCTGCAGAACCTGACGCACTCTTCTTCACTCCGACCCTAGCGCTGGGTCCGTTGGCATCACCAAGTTGAGCATCGGCCGCGCTGTCCAACGCCCTTACGTAGCTCGCAGCGCCCGCACCATCACAGGTAAGCAAGCCACGGTGTTATCACTCAGTCCATTGACACCAACACAGCAAACATGCCACCGAAGCCAAAAACCCCAAAGGCCCCGAGCCGTCCCGCCACCGCCCCCAAGAAGAAAGCCGACACGCCAAAGGATCCAACTTCTAGTAAGCCGGCCAAGAAGCTCAAGATTGCTCGGAACCGCAAAAACGACGGCAATGACGATATTCTCGCTCCCGGGACGGATCCGAAAAGCTTCATACAATTACACAAAGGCGAAGGCCAGGTCGGCTCCTACGCCATGTTCGGCCGCCGGAACGAGTTCCGCAAGTTCATCCTGTCCAGCCTAGTGCTGAACGCTATACCAATGCTTACACCGACCGCGGCACAATTCAAGTGCCCCAGAGGGACGTACTAGAGTACATCCGTGACCAGGAGAAGGAAATGAAGCTCGAGGAAAGCCCCATCGACGTATACCCAAAGCAGAGCGACAATATCCACGCGGTTCAACGAACCGCCCTCGCATGCGCACAGCTTTCCAGACAGGTTGAGAGGGCTTCCGGGCAATGGCCATTCGACCAAGAGCAGGAGAAGAAGGCTGTCAGCGCGTTCAAGGCCCTGACAGGAAAGCAAGTACCCGAGTTTGATCGGTCGACCGTAAGGGTGAAGAGCTTCGGCCCGCACACCAAGTACGGCGAGAGTGACTTAGAGCCATACAGTCGCGCGTTCAACGTCATCATGTATCTTTCGTGGTCATTGAGCCCCAAAGTATGGAGCACAAGGTTCGAAAATGCCAAGTGGGACGAGGAGGTCCGGTTTAGTACAGCTCACGTCCCGCATTGGATGCGGGAGCGAGACGGCACAAAGAAGCCCGCCAAAGCCCCAGACCAAGCAACAAATACATCCGAGCCGCCCAAACCGAACCCGGAAGTGCTTGTATCTTGGAAGATGACTTCCCTTTTTCCTAAACAACGAGAGCTCACGGAATGGTTAACAGAAATCGGGCTGGTCGACAACATCCCAAGTGAACTCCCGATAACAATCAGGCCGACAGCAACCCGCGCAGAAGTCCGCGACATCATCCGAGCCAAGTTCCAATTGGATCAGAACCAGGCCCAGATCGCAACACTGCAGGTGAAGAGCTCGTTGTCGAACATCATGAAGAAGTATCGTCTGCGCTGCCACGGGCAGGGGAAGTCGAGACGAAGGAGGACGTCGCCATGATTGACGCTGTCTGATACATCCTCGTCGAAGTTACTGATACGCAGGAACATTAGTAGGTGTGGCAGCAACAACAACTTTTGTACCTAATAGAGTCTTAGCTTATAAGTCTATGTAGTCTGTTACAGTCCATACGTGCTTACTTTATAACAAGGATAATACGCCCGTATTCCTTAAAGCCTCCTATACTACTTGTCTTGTAACTGTGATCCTAGTAAAGATATTCCTGGCACACGTAGTGCACGTATAATAAGACTCACCGGCTATCATGTGGGCGGTACGTCCAGCATCATCTCAACGTTTCACGATCACCTCTTATGCTCAACTGTGTGAGAAAAATGATGACATCTACCATCTCCTAGGTTTCATTGCATTGCTCATGTCTCCATCCTTACAACTTCTATTTCTCATCTCCAATCTTGAAGATATACTTGACTCCACTCGCCTTGCCATCCCTCAAATTCTTCATACCCGTCTCGACTCCCTCCAAGCCACCAGGAATAACCTCGTGCGGATGCGGCTTGAACCAGCCCTCAGCCAACCCCCTCGCCATATACCGGAACATGATGAACGCGTAATCCGCATCCTCCTTGTGCGCCGAGCCCACCATCGTCTGAGTCTGCTGCACAGTTTCGGGAATACCCTCATACGTCTTACCCGGCAGAACAAGCGTGAGCTTACCCGTGGGCTCTAGCACCTGCACAATGTTTGTGTAGGAGTTGTGTTCCGATACAGCGTCATAGGCGTACTGCAGTTTCTGTCCCTTGAGCGCGTCTTTGATGCCCTTGACGACCGCGTCATCACCCCTTCGGTAATCGACAATCGTGTCGCCCTTTGAGCGGTCGATAAGTCCCTCGACGAACTTCTCTCCTTTCCCTGCTACAGCGATGATGGGGTGGATGTTTGCGCGCGATGCTAGTTTAATCGCATATGCGCCCACTGCACTCGCACCGCCATACACAACAAGCGGCGTGGGTTCCTGCGCCGGAGTCCACGGGTCTGGCAAACGCATGCGTTGGTGCAGTCCGATGGCTGCTGTCATGGCGGCAAGGGGCAGGGTCGCTGCTTGCTCGAAAGAAACAGAAGATGGGATGTGGAAGGTGGTGTGGGCCCAGCCTACTGCGTACTCAGCGAAGGAACCACCCGGTGTCATCATCTCGTGGAAGGAAGCAACCCGGTCTCCGGGCTTGAACTCGTAGACGTTGGCACCGACGCTGTGGACGTATCCGGCGATGTCGTCGCCGGTGTTGAAGTTAGGCTTCATGTCGTAGGCGGGGATTTTCCTGGAGGATATGTTAACGGAGGATCGATTGGTAGGAGATATATTGAAATGGGAGACAACGTCACGTGGATATTGTGATCGTGCAGGTAGCATGTGGACTTTGGGAAGTAAACATACCAGTCTTTGGGGTTACTACCAGAATAGACGACCTTGATGACGACCTGGTTGGCTTGTGGCTCGGGGACGGCAACATCCTTGATGGTGACCGAAAGGTCTTTTGCTACTTGTGCTTCCTTCATTATGATAACTCTTTCTGTTACAAGTCCCCTTCAAAATGTGTAGAAGAATTAAGATAAATAAAGGGTATAATGTGCCGTTAAGTTATGTGAGTAAAGATGCCCCCCAAAACGAGGCGGGGCTCCCAAGCATCTTTATATCCAAACAACATGATCCTGAACATTCCACCGTCCGTCGTCCGACATCACAAACGCGAATATGTGGAGCTGGCATTAATAATGACGAATGTGGGGTTTAGTGTGCTGGGTGGAGTAGATCTAGCCCTGGAGGTTGTTGGCGACGTCGATGATGCGACTTTTCGGTATTCGCTTTTGGTTGCATAGCCGAGATTGGCCGGATGGATTGATCGGAAGCTGGGCACCTGAGATTCCTCCGATATCATTAATCACGGACTGGCAACCCCTCTTGCATCTACTCTGAGCACGTAACGTATTATACTATACCCTGGCATGGGACAAACTGCGCAGGTAAATAATGAGGAAGACGCAGATGAAATCTTAAGCTCGCTCAATGCCCGGGATTCAACCAGAAACCTAGGATCCAGCAAGCTATCCATATTGTAGCCAACAAATCTATAGCTTCCCCTGTATCTTGTTCCCCAAAACCTCCTCCCTCCTCCGTACATCCACATCCCGTGGCCCTTCCTTCTTGAACTTCGTGGTAACAACCCATTCCCTGAGTCCCGCTCTCCCCTGTCCCTGGCTTTCAACCTCTTTCCCCGGCCGATCAAGCACCAAGACAGCAGTATTCTTATCCACGCCGCCAACCCCATCCTGCCCAGCCTGCCCATACTCTCCTTTGCCCAGAGCAAGTGGAGATATGCAAGCTTCAGCAAAGGACACTTCAGGCTTCCCGTCGTACATGCGCGGCTTTTGTAGGAAATCAAGACATTTCTCGCGCTCGAGTTGTAGCTCCGCAAGACTAGGTGTGGGCGAAGAGGGCGATGTGACACTTGATGCTAAGTACGGAGCCAGCAGCAAGGTAAGCAAGAACTGTGGTGGGAATAGGATAATCCTGTTTTGCCGCGCCAGGTCAATCCATTTGTTGGGTGGCAGGAAGCGGGCAGCGGTGTGCTCAATACCGCCATCGTGTGTAGGTTTGGGTATGACAATCTCGTCCTCCTCCTCCAGTCCCGACGACGGTGGTGTACCCTTGGGCGCGGCGTGCTTCGTCGGCGACACGGAGCCAAGGGGCAGGAAATAGATGTACATTTGCGTAGTAAAGCGTTTGGGCACGTTGGGAGGCGTTACCCAGCGAGTAAACGGAATCAGAGCTTCGGTATCGGGAAGTGCACCCCATTTCTCCAACAAGTCTCCAAACTTGACCTTTCCACCATGTACGTCTCTTCGGCCTTGTTCTCGTTCTTCGTCGCTTATCTCGGTGAACAGCTTCCCGGTCTTTTTGCTCTTGGCGAGTAAGATGCCGCATTCCTCGAAAGTCTCCCGTACGGCTGCCATACGATACGCGGGCCCATCTTGATGTCTTCCTGGGTGGTCTTCGTCGGGGATCTCGCCGTCGTGGGTTTTGGAAAGGGCGCCGCCGGGGAAGACATGGGCAGATGCGAAACTCGAGGCTTTCGACACGCGATGGAGGAGAAGGACCTGATTCGTAGGGGAGATGAGAAGGACGCTACACGTGTTAGCATCTCGATATTGGTCGACATGGTGATAATCGCATACCTCGAGCTAGGCCGTGGGACCTGTGGTGCCTTTGACGCCTGCTTCGACGGCTTGTGGTCTGCAGGCGAAGACATTTTGCGCTTTTGGAAAGAGGTCTTGGAGAGTTGAGCAGACTGCAGATAGGAGGCAGTTCGTAGTGACGCTGACGATCGCGCACCGGGCTTCGCTTGCAATATGGAGTACGATGAGCTTGCGGCGACGGGGCGTGGAGAGCAACAAGAGCGTAACGCAGTTGATCTACCTTTAGCCAGGAGGAGAGCAGTGGAACTCAGCTTTGGCATATCCGGCGACAAAAGGAGCCGACAATGGCGGTCGGCGCGTCATGATGGCTTGCATGTGGTTGGTGTTGATGCGCGGGGAGGTGCCGAGGTTAGGAAGTAGCTCGAGCAGTGACAGGGTGCCCAAGAGTCGACACAGCGTCAGAACTCTGGCAGCGCTTCGCATCCCTCAACAGAAGACCGTTTTTTAAGTTTGATCGTAAATGAACATAGTTCGTGGTATCATTGCTTTTGGCCTATCCATTGCTCCATAATAAGAACATAAATCGTCTTCGTGTCGCATGTCTAATGAGGGAACCTAGCAAACCAGCCAACCACCCACTAACGCCCTCCCAATGCATTCCGTATATCATCTTGAATCGTCTATGAGTAGAGCTTCTTGTCGAAGCTGTGCAGACCGTGCACGTTACCCTCAGCCTGTGCACTAGCAGTGCGCAACTCGAATCTGACGGTGCCGTTGGCAACACCCTCGTGAAGCTCGGCAAGGCTCTTGATGCCAATATCCTGTAGCGAGTGCTGAACACCAGCCATAAGGTAGGGCACGAACTTAGTGATCGAGCCACGGTCCTGGACGGATCCAGACACACCTTGGGCAACCAGCACGCGGTCACCCTCGGAGAAGTAGCGCGCGGTACCAGCGTTGCTGGCCTTGGAGTCGGCAGCGCCAGCACCGGCCTTCTTGTCCTCCATGGCGGCGATACTGCCCATACCACGGTAGGCCTTGACGAGCTGACCATCGCGGCTGACAAAGTACTCACCAGGAGACTCAGTGGTACCGGCGAGGAGACCTCCCATCATGACGGCTGATGCACCCATGGCAAGACCCTTGACGATGTGTCCTACGTTCTGAATACCACCATCCGCAATGCAAGGAACGCCGAAGCGCGATGCGAAAGAGGTGACATTGTACACCGAAGTGGCCTGTGGTCTTCCGACAGCCATGACTTCTTGTGTAATGCAAGCACTTCCGCTACCCATGCCGATACGGAGACCGTCAGCACCAGCGGCGATGAGACCAGCAGCCTGCTCACGAGTGACGACGTTTCCGCCAATCACGTCGAGCTGGGAGTACTTCTCCTTGATGTACTTGATCATCTCAATTTGGTACATGCTGTTTCCCTGACTGCTGTCGAGGATGACGATGTCAAGACCGGCATCGACGAGCTTCTGCAGACGGATCTTGTCCTCTGGTCGGGTGCCGATGGCAGCCGCGGCGATCAGCTGCTTGGAGTGTGGGAGCTTGGACGCAAGCGGGAAGTTGAGGTTCTTCATCAAGTCGGAGCGAGACAGGAGCGCAATCAGGTTGAAGCTCTCATCCACGATGGGAAGCTTGCCCTTCTTGGACTTGTTCAGTATGTCGTTGGCCTCCTTGAGCTCAACGCCGTGGCGGGCGGTTACGAGGTCCGTGGACATGACGGCGGTGACCGGGTCGTCCAGCTTGTCGTGGAACTGGATGTCTCGGGGAGTAATGATACCGACGAGCTTGGAGCGGAGGGTGCCGTTCTCTATAGTCAACTGTCAGCGAAT